GCCTATCACGTTGTGGTAAATGCCTACCACGTTGTGGCAAATGCCTAACACGTTGTGGTAAATGCCTATCACGTTGTGGTAAATGCCTATCACGTTGTGGCGAATGCCTATCACGTTGTGGCGAATGCCTATCACGTTGTGGTAAATGCCTACCACGTTGTGGCAAATGCCTAACACGTTGTGGTAAATGCCTATTGTGGTAAATGCCTATCACGTTGTGGCAAATGCCTATCACGTTGTGGTAAATGCCTATCACGTTGTGGCAAATGCCTATCACGTTGTGGTAAATGCCTATCACGTTGTGGTAAATGCCTATCACGTTGTGATAAATGCCTATCACGTTGTGGCGAATGCCTATTGTGGTAAATGCCTATCACGTTGTGGTAAATGCCTATCACGTTGTGGTAAATGCCTATCACGTTGTGGTAAATGCCTATCACGTTGTGGTAAATGCCTATCACGTTGTGGTAAATGCCTACCACGTTGTGGCGAATGCCTATTGTGGTAAATGCCTATCACGTTGTGGTAAATGCCTATCACGTTGTGGCAAATGCCTATCACGTTGTGGTAAATGCCTATCACGTTGTGGTAAATGCCTATCACGTTGTGGTAAATGCCTATCACGTTGTGGCGAATGCCTATCACGTTGTGGTGAATGACTATCATGTAATGGTGAATGCCTATCACGTTGTGGTAAATGCCTATCATGTTGTGGCAAATGCCTATCACGTTGTGGCGAATGCCTATCACGTTGTGGTAAATGCCTACCACGTTGTGGCAAATGCCTAACACGTGGTAAATGCCTATCACGTTGTGGTAAATGCTTATCACGTTGTGGCGAATGCCTATCACGTTGTGGTAAATGCCTATCACGTTGTGGCGAATGCCTATCACGTTGTGGTAAATGCCTACCACGTTGTGGCAAATGCCTAACACGTTGTGGTAAATGCCTATCACGTTGTGGTAAATGCCTATCACGTTGTGGCGAATGCCTATCACGTTGTGGTAAATGCCTATCACGTTGTGGCGAATGCCTATCACGTTGTGGTAAATGCCTATCACGTTGCGGCGAATGCCTATCACGTGGTAAATGCCTATCACGTTGTGGCGAATGCCTATCACATGGTAAATGCCTATCACGTTGTGGCGAATGCCTATCACGTTGTGGTGAATGACTATCATGTAATGGTGAATGCCTATCACGTTGTGATAAATGCCTATCATGTTGTGGCAAATGCTTATCACGTTGTGGCGAATGCCTATCACGTTGTGGTAAATGCCTACCACGTTGTGGTAAATGCCTAACACGTTGTGGTAAATGCCTATCACGTTGTGGTAAATGCCTATCACGTTGTGGTGAATGCCTACCACGTTGTGGTAAATGCCTATCACGTTGTGGTAAATGCCTATCACGTTGTGGCGAATGCCTATCACGTTGTGGCGAATGCCTATCACGTTGTGGCAAATGCCTATCACGTTGTGGTAAATGCCTATCACGTTGTGGCAAATGCCTATCACGTTGTGGTAAATGCCTATCACGTTGTGGCGAATGTCTCACGTTGTGGTGAATGACTATCATGTTGTGGCAAATGCTTATCATGTTGTGGCGAATGCCTATCACGTTGTGGTAAATGCCTATCACATTGTGGTGAATGCCTATCACGTTGTGGTAAATGCCTATCATGTTGTGGCAAATGCTTATCACGTTGTGGCGAATGCCTATCACGTTGTGGTAAATGCCTACCACGTTGTGGCAAATGCCTATCACGTTGTGGTAAATGCCTATCACGTTGTGGTAAATGCCTATCACGTTGTGGTGAATGACTATCATGTAATGGTGAATGCCTACCATGTTGTGGTGAATGCCTATCACGTTGTGGTAAATGCCTATCACGTAGTGGTAAATGCCTATCACGTTGTGGTAAATGCCTATCACATTGTGGCGAATGCCTATCACGTTGTGGTGAATGACTATCATGTAATGGTGAATGCCTATCATGTTGTGGTGAATGACTATCATGTAATGGTGAATGACTATCATGTAATGGTGAATGCCTATCACGTTGTGGTGAATGACTATCATGTAATGGTGAATGCCTATCACGTTGTGGTGAATGACTATCATGTAATGGTGAATGCCTATCACGTTGTGGTGAATGACTATCATGTAATGGTGAATGCCTATCACGTTGTGGTGAATGACTATCATGTAATGGTGAATGCTTATCACGTTGTGGCGAATGCCTATCACGTTGTGGTAAATGCCTACCACGTTGTGTAAAT